TTGTTTCGCCTGAGGCTTTTGTCCAGCCGTTCCGACGCCACCGCCATTATGTTCCGCCTGATGGCCAGCCAGGCCAAGAAGCACCCCAGCGTGAGTCTCCGGCCGGAGAGGCCCTTTCGGGACGACATTTATTATTTATTATTCGGCTTTCCGACTTATGGCCACCTGTCATGAGGTTTTCGTGACAGGTTTCTCGTTCAGAGGGGAGTTTTTTGGTCAGATTTCCCTCCCTCTGAGGCTGAGAGAGTGTGACCCGCCCAAGGTGACCCAGTGGGTCTGCCATGGCCGGGCGGAAAGGCTTCTCAGAGTCCAGATCCAGCACTTAAAAGCCACTGTGCCATTATGCTGGCTCTATCGGTAAACAGTTTCCCCTGAGGAGGGTTTGCTTTTGCCTCCCTCAAGAGGCTGAGAGAGTGTGACTCGCCCAAGGTCGCCCAGGGGACCTCCATGGCTGAGGGGGGATTCGAACTCTGCTCTCCTGGAATCCTAGTCTCGGCTTATGGTAACTCTAAAGCGAACCTATCACAGGTTTTTCTTGGCAAGATTCGTTCAGAGGAGATTTTTTCCCTGCCAAATTTGACTCCCTCTGAGGCTGAGAGAGCGTGACTCGCCCAAGGTCACCCAGTGGGGTTTGAACCCTGGATTGCAGAGTCCTAATGCAACGTTCAAACCACTGCACCACGCTGTCTGCCAAAATAGTTCTTCAGAGGAAGTTTGTTACTGGCTCCCTCCCTCAGAAGCTGAGAGAGTGTGACTTGTCCAAGGTCACCCAGTGGGTCTGCCATGGCTGAGCGGGGATTTGAACCCTGGTCTCCCAGAGTCTCAGTCCAGTAGTCAGATGTGCGTGTGTGTTGTGTACCTTCAAGTTGTTTTCAACTTATGGCGACCCTAATGCGAATGTATCATGGGATTTCCTGGCATGATTTGTTCAGAGAGGGTTTGCCATTGCCTTCCCCTGAGGCTGAGAGAGTGTGATTGGCCCAAGGTCGCCCAGTAGGTGTCATGAATAGCATCACAGAATGATAGAGTTGGTACCCCCAAGGTTCATCCAGTCTAACCTCCGTCTTCTGCCATGGAGGAATACATAGGATCCTAGAGTTGGAAGGGACCC